CGGTGGCCGGCGGGGCCGCCCCAGCCCCAGGCGAGGCGCCGAGCGAGGGCCGGCGTCCGTCTGCCGCTGGGAAAAGGCGGGAGCGAGAGCTCAGTTCACCCGAGACGCGCGTCTCGGGGGTTTCCTTCAGGTTCTGTCACTCGCGCTTGCCCGAACCTCACAGTTCCTTTGGGAATTCTGGCCAAGGGAGAAATAAAAAAAGGTAGTTTTGAAGGAGGAAGATAAGCTGGGGTGCTTAGAAGAAGGCAGGGAAAGGGGTAGCAGAAGCACAGGCTCGGCCTTCAACATGCTTGAAGTTGCATCTAAACGAGGAAACGACCTGGGCACCTGGAGCGTTACACCACAGTACAGCGGGCCCCCCGGAAAAAAAGATTTTGGGGACCGACTTGCAAAAGGCATAAAAAGTAGCAGTAAATCCTTTCTCGGCCCACCGGGATCCTACCACAGAGTCTGTATGTCTGCTAAATAAGGTGTGAAAGGAGCTCAGGGAAGATAAGGCTGTAACGAAAAAACTAAACCCCATGCTTCTCAAAGAGGACCTTCGGGAGGTTTTCATGCCGAAGTGCTGCTTTTTTAGAGAAAAGTGTTGGAGGAGCAGTTTCCCATTGGAAGTCATGGTAGAAGGTAGAAAGAAAATAAATTGAATAATAGGAAATTGGCAAGATCAGATGGTGTTTATCCAGGACTTACAGAGGGATTTGGGCATGAAGCAGTGGGACAGCTGACCGTGCCGTGTAACCACATGCTACGGACAGCATTGGAGGACTGGGGAGCGCTGCCTGTAGCCGAAACCTGAAAGGCTCCAAGAGGAGCCCCTTAGGTCCATGCACATGTTGATCAAATCAGTGGGAAGAATAACAAAGATGAGTGAGTGGAACAGGAATAAATACGATGCACTGGAGAACCATCAGCATCATTTTCTATGGAGGGACATTGTGCCTCGGAAATCTGTGGGAGTCTTCGGAGGAGCTGAGTGACCACACCTGGCCAAGGCAAGCTGGGTCCATGAACTTGGATTTCCTAAAGGCATTTGGGCAAGAGCTTTTGTCAAAAGTTCTTAGAAGACTCAGCAGTCATGAGATAAAGGTTACAGCCTTCAGATGGACGGATACCCAGTGAGAAGATAGTAAAGAAAAGGTAGGGATCAATTACCATCTTTTTCAATGGATTGGTGTAACACGTAGGGTTGTACAGGAATTTGTGTGAAGATCAGTACTGTTCAACATACTCGTAAATAGTCTGGAAAAGGGGTCAGATAGCGGAGTAGTAAAATCTGTTGTTCAGTATATTGTTTTACTCAGTTAGTAAAAATCATTGTCAGGTTGCAGAAGGACCTTTGAAGTCCTACTGAGAACAGTAAAATGATAGACACATGTTGACATGTGAGATAAAACTGAGTGTTTAGATGGAATAAAAGGCTCTTAACAAATGATTGCTGTTCACGAGCGAGACTTTGGAGTCACAACAGATGCTCTATGAAATCTCAGTGCTTTGTGCTTCAAGTGGTCAAAATCAAGTAAGATTTAGTAACCATTTGGAAATGGATGCCATAATTCTCACTCTGTGATGGTGATGTGCTCACTGCTGGGATGGGGTCTGCAGGCCTAGCAATTCCCACCTCTCAGAAAGGCCACAGTAAAGCTACAAAAGATACACAAAAGTGTGACAAAGTTTTTCACAAGTCTGAAATTCTTCCACACAGCACTAAATAAAATGGAAGTTGGAAGACAAGCTGATGGGAGAAATAATGACAAACGCCTATACAATGGTTTGTGAAACTGAGTTGGATGGACAGTGATTCCTCATTGTAATTTCCAATGCAAAACCTGTGGAAAGCAAATTAAGCTAATAGGCAGCCATTTCAAAACAAAAAGTATTTTAATGTAGTATTAAACTTCATTGGAAATGTCACAGATTCCTAGAAGTTTACAGGGGTTTGCAAAAAGATAAGGCAGATTTATGGAAGGGAAATCCATCAGGGGCTGTTAAACATGAAGATGCTGTTTCAGGAAGCCACGAGAGCCATCAGTCTTCTGGAGGTTGTACCAGGGAAGTAGCCCAATGTGCTTGCCCTTTCCTTGGCACCTACTGTTGGATGCTGTCAAAGACAGAACAGACTGTTGGCCTGATCTGATACAGTTTTCATGTTGCTATTTGCAACTAACATTGCTTTTTTCTGAAGTTCGTGTCAAGTCCTGCAGTTCATTTCTTATTCCAGAACTCAGTTTATCTAATGTGCATTTAAAATATCAAAGGGCCATCTAGGTTCTTGAGGTACTGTTGATCAGAATACACCATTTTATTAAACTGTTTATAAAACTTGATTGTCAGCAGCAGTTAGGCTCATGGATGAATATTAAAATAATGACTACATGTATTACATTTGATATGAACTGGAGTTGGTAATATCCTGCAGTGAAGGCCAAAAAATTCTTTCGCTGTGTAAAGAGTGAGGCGGTTTGCCCTGGTCTGTTCTTAATGGACATTCAAAGGAATCAGAATTCCTCAGCTCTGTCCTGGATTTTACACGTTAATTTCTGTTCTTGAAGAAATCATTTCAATGTTTTGACATTCAGGTTCCCCACTTAAAAATGTTTATAAAAACAGCCTAAAACATAATGGTTACATGCAAATTTCAAGGTTGCTGGCATTGCCTCCTTCCCTGCAAGAGGATCAACATTAGCCTTTTGCTCAGCAACTTGTGACTTGATTGCTAGTTGTGATGAGGGCAGATGACAGAAAGTGAGAGGAGGGGGTTTGAATGGTCACCCCAGCATGATCATGCCAACATTCGGTTTATCAGTGGCTGTGATGTAACTTGGCTGGGCTTATTTTCTTACATTTACTTTAATAGTTGAGAAAATTGTTAGTTGTCCTCACAGGAGAAGTATAAGCCGTATTTTTATGTGTGGTTGGTATGTGTTTTTTAGAGGGCAGGCTCTCAGTGACTTTTAATTTCTTGAATAAGACTATAAAATTGCTGATTAGCATGAATTTTCATAGTGGTTTCCCTTGGGGAAGGGACTGCATGAACAACTCTTTCACTTGGCATGAACCACAGAGGGGTGGCTTAAACCATCTCGTGTGTGTTTTGATCCAGGGTTCTGTGATGCATTTGCATTGCTTAAGACATTGCTCATATGCACTAATATTTTAGTAGTAGTAATAATAACAGTAATAGTTCAGTATATGCTTTGTTGATTTGTTTTCTGTCTTTATATTTGTAATGTGCTTTTTTTGGTAGGTATTCTTTGTGAATTAACAACTAACTTTATGGATTACAGACCTGTAGTTGATCTGGGTACTGTTTTAATGTAGTAAACAAATAATGAAAATACAGGTTAATCAAACCAGTGTCTGAGCTAAAGAATCAGTAATATAGTGGCAGAATATAAGTCAATAAAGCATGTGAAGCAGGTGTTTTGAGAGCAACATATTTTGTTTAATATCCCATCATTTGAGCTCATCACTTGTGTAGCCACTGTGTACTCGACTATGACATTAGGCAGTCATTCCTTTTATCTCCATAACTGACATTTAGATATGTGTTTTCATCAATTGTATCCTCACATAAGGGGGAGAATCTCCTTAACCCCTTAAAATCATCAGTTCTCCAATTTCTGAACTTACTTCTTAGGCTGAATTTCTATGTGTGATGTAGGAATCAAAGATTTTGAATCTTTGCAGTGTTCAAAGATTTCTTCAAAGATTCGTTATCATTCAGTCTGGAGAATGTATTTTCAGGAAATCACAAATTGTTCCCAATTTCTCTTTGTATAATTTATAAGTTTAATAGTAAAGTGGGACAGTATATATGAATACATACATATGTATCTACCAGACACACCTAATGATTTATTATTTTCAGTAGATTATCTGTAAATATGATCTTTAATATTCACCAAATTATATAAATGCCTTTACTCTCTAGCTCTTTGTTTCTTCTGTTCTCTGGTGCTTTGAATTGAATGGAAAGGTGTTTCTGGTCTGTGTGGCTCCTCTTTGATGGACTCACACAGAAATAAATGTAATAAATTAAAGGTGATAGAGGGAAAGGTGATGCCAAAAGGGTAGCCTACAGTCAAGACAAAAGAGTTCAGTGATGCGTTTACAGTTAAAACATTAGTCTTCACGTTGCTAAAGCATGGTATTTTTGGAGACAGTTTACTAAATGTAGAGTTACAATAACAATAAATAGGATCTGTCACAGGACACTGATATAATTCTATTTGAAGTCCATATGTCTGCAGTGTTGCTAATATTTTAAATTATGTGTTTAATCAATGGGAGAAAGAAAGGGTTTCTCTGCATCTTTATGTCCAGCTTCCATGACAATTTTTTATTTATATACAATCCTGTTTTGTTTTGTTTTTTTTTAAATTATGTTTCCTATTCTGTGAGCACACACTACACTAGCTAAATGGAGACGTTTGACTGCACTGGAAAGGCAAGCAATACATTGCAATCTTTGAATTCTGAATAGAATTTTGGTAGACCTATTCACTCCCTCAGAATTAAATATCTCAAACCTCTATATAACTAAGATCTTAAAATTAAGAATTTAAAAATATACATGGTTCATATAAGTATTTAGATTGATCAGGGAAGTAGATTTTACACTGAACAATTCAGCTATTGTGTGCATACTCATTTTGTCTGAGGATAATTTTTCAGAAGTATGTAAAATAAATTATTTGTGGTTTTCCAATTACATGGGTTTT